CACACTTAACTTAAAGACTGAATGAACAATCTGGTATTTCTAAAAGACACACTTAACTTAAAAACTGAATGAACAATCTGATATTTCTATAAGACACACTTAAAAACTGAACGAACAATCTGGTATTTCTAAAATACACTAGTTGAAGCTAGGTGTAACTTTATTTATCCTATTTTAACAACATGAAGGACTATTAAATCTGTTTCCCCATGTTTCAACAGATCCGAAGGACTATTAAATCATGTTATCCCATGTTTCAACAGATTAGAAGGACTTGTAAATCATGTTATCCCCATGTTTTTAATGTTAATAAATGTCAGTCACAAGGAACTTCATATTTGAATATTTATTAACTGAGTTTTATACACAGTAGAATATCTGTTTTTTTCTTGTAGAATTTTGACAAAACTAGCTAGCTTTACACCAGGCATGAATTACTTAATGCCTTTACAGTAAGTTAAAGAACATTTATAAGGTCAGTATTATTATTTTGACAAAACTAGCTAGATTTACATCAGGCACGAATTACTTAATGCCTTTACAGTAAGTTAAAGAACATTTATAAGGTCAGTATTATTATTATTTTGACAAAACTAGCTAGCTTTACACCAGGCACGAATTACTTAATGCCTTTACAGTAAGTTAAAGAACATTTATAAGGTCAGTATTATTATTATTTTGATAAAACTTAAGCAAAAACACCTACAAGTATTTCAGCATTCATTCATAGTTCTTTGGTTTAAACAATCCAGCCCGTGAGTACACAACGGAAGATTCAAAACTATTACCCCTTTTCTGGGTAAACTTGCTGGCTTCCATTCTAACATTACACATTGCTTAGATCACTTTAACCCCATTTTTTTCCATGTTTTACTCCTTTTGTTTAATAAACTACCTTCAGAGTTCCAAAGCTGCATTTAGACCATCAAAGTTATTTAAGTTCAGAGCTCACAGATAATCAAAAAGCTAGATTAAATAAATCATGTTCACAACCGTTAAGCCCCGATTAGAAGATATTCTTCTAATTTAACAACAAATCCTGAAAACTACGGGTTTAATCTTACACACTCAAACACGACCTACAACGACTCCTTATATCGATATAATTAGCTGAAGACAATGTGACCAGGAAAGAAGCAACATATAAACCTTTGTTTTACAATCTCTGTTAAATAAGAGTACATCTGTACTGGAAGTAACTAACTGCTAACATCTCTTTTATTACAGTTTTCTTTACACTGATCATTAAACCTAAATATATACATTGTGGCTGTCCAGGATAGAATATCCTGTATTACAATATAGGATCAAATGTCGTATTAATGAATACAAGTAACAACTACGAAACACACACTTAAAGAGCATTGTCAGTTGTATTACGTCATACAGCCTTTCTTATGAAGGATTTCATCTTTTACCATTACTAGCTCTTCTACATACTTTTATCTCCCAACACTTCTAGAGAATAAATAAATAAAATCACACATTTCTGTAGTTCTGTAATAGTTCGTCATCACAACCATTCATCTCGTGTGCTCGGTAGTATATTCATTACTAATATAAATACATTTTCAACTAGGATCACTGTAGAGTTGTACACAGTTCTCATTAATTACTGGGAGCTTGGGGTTTCATAATTTTATGTTTGAAAAGAAAATATATATTAAACTTCAAACTGTACCAATATTACTATTGGTCAGTTGGTCATCTCAAGCTAGCTTAAACTTTATGTGTTAATTAAATAAAAATTCTCATTTTCAAGCACTGTGCATTCAGTTAGGCCATATGACAAGCTAGTTTCGATTCTATCTACTTCATTAATTTTATGTTTATTAAAATTAAATAAGATAAGAAAGAATTAAGCCACAAAATATAATTATTACATACACCTCGATAAATTAAAAAATAACACACCTTCAAAATTTTATACTTTCAAATAAACCTCTCTTAGTTTCTCTACACCGTCAATCTTCACAATGGTTTCTTCTTTTGGCATACAATTCTCCCTGAATGAATTCTTTGAATACTGGTAAGTTTGAAAGTAAGCTTGTTTCGTTAGAACTACTACTGCTGCTACTACTAAAACAAAGGTTGAGTCCTGCTGCTCCATTTGTGGTTAGACATGTAGCTAGATGTTTCACGTGATAGCTATGCTGTGAGATGGATAAAGTCGGAACAACTTGACAAGGTCAACTCTTTAGTCAGCTGAATATTTCTAGAAAATAAAGTCAACGAGTCAGTTTTATACTGAACCAAGTATCAACAGTTAATTATTTTAACTGAACAAAACTTAGCTAGTTGACTAACACCATACAAACAAAACTTAGCTAGTTGACTAACACCATACAAACAAAACTTAGCTAGTTGACTAACACCATACAAACAAAACTTAGCTAGTT